AAATTTCAGCCTCCTAGACTCCATGTCTCTCGAGATATTAATTTACCCGTAAAAAACTTCCACGGGGCCCTACGTGTTACCCGCGGTACGGGGCCCTACGTGTTACCCGCGGGTACGGACAATAGCCCCCATCCCTCCTGCTCCTCCGTTCGTCTAGTTAAGCACCATACTCCGATTCGTTCCGTGAGCCGGACTGAAACCGGCTGCGGACCGGATCCGGCCCGCGGCCAACCACATGCGTACTACGGAAGCCAACCCGGGGTATATTTATTGCTTGCTTATGCAAATATAATAAAAGAATACTTTCTCGCAAACTGTGTGCTCGCGTGGCTGTACACGGCTCATCTCACGCTCCAGCACATTTTCTTCGCGGTGCCGTAATTCGGTTAAGCGGAGATTTGTAGCTTCAATAACTGATCTTGGCAAAGCGCGCACCATCTGGCGGTTTAACCACGGTGGATCAAGCTCTTCGCCATTGTTGTCATCCTGCAAACGGGTTCACTGCCTCTACCAGTAAAAAGTAACATAACTTCATGTTATTCGTAAATTTTTATTATTTGTTGCCTCCAGTGTGATCCCTCCCTCCCTTCCTCCCCTGCCCCGTTCCCTTTCCCCCATCCGCCTCCGTAAACTTCCCTCCCTCCACCCATTTATTTTCAGTGCAACCAAAATTGTCTTCTTTGGGAAGTAGGGACAAGTAAAGCGGCTGCGCCTGTCTATGCGTAAATGCACGAAAATTAAACTGTGGACCGTCGGTGCGAGAGAAGAATTCCCACAAAAACGATTACTTTTATCGAGAGATCGCGTCCAGGTACCAGCGCTTGTATGTCATCCTCATAGACGGCACCATCAGCATCAACCATTCTCGGCGGAGGCATCAGATGGGGCGCAATTTCTGTTTCCTCATCCAAAAAGTAATTGTGATCGTCCAGAATCAGTGGCCTAAAAAGTAACAAACTTAAAAAAAAGAGCAGGAAGCTGAAAACGAAACACAAACCGACTAACAAAAAGCATGACGCTCTAAATTCATGCAGTGCATTGATAGAGCACATAAATTACTGATCGGCAAAAGCTGTCGTTTCAGGAATGCTAACAAACACCATGTATCTTTCTCACTGAGTTTTGCTTTTTAAAAATTAAGCGGACCTTTTTAATGCCCTTGCAAAAAAAGGCCGGGGCACACTATTTCGCTTAAAAAGCAAAAGGAATTTTTTGCGAATTCGATCTTCGTTACGGGAATAAATTCTCATTCTGGCTGTCACGTAACGATGGTTAAAAAGTATCCGGGACGACAGACAACATACTGTAGCCAGTTTCGCCTCTCATCAGCAAGAAAGTCAATTTTATTTCAAAATGGGTTTCTTAGAATGAAATCGATGTTGGAACGAAAGATTCACTATTTGGTCGTGTCAGGTTCTTTTTGACATCTTTTGAAAATGACAACAGTCAGCAAAATTTGGACTTTGGCCTCTGACATTTCTTTGCCTCAGTCTGGAGAACGCGATAAATTCTTCCCACCAATGATTCACCCCCATTTTGAGATTAAAGTCTCCGAGGACCATAGTGTATTTGCCTCCCGCTGTAAAGCTGTGTCGATTTCCTCACAGAAACGTTTAATGCTTCCAACCGTTTGACCGTTAAAGCAAGCGAAAAGTAGCTACATGGGCCTACATTGTAACATCCATGTCAACGCAACCCCAGCAAAAAACTGATATGAAATTCGCTGTGAAATTTCTGTAGGCACCCGTAACGAACACCCCCATTTGCGACACTGGGTCGCAAGAGACTGACTAGTATCTCATAGTGAACCGATCAGTTCAATCCTTTTACCCGTTGCTACTAATGTGATTTTTTTTTTGCAAACTTCTTATTTTGCAGCTAATTCCGGTTTGCATCTGGTATCAGCGGTGGCTG